CTGGGGAATGCACGAACGGTTCCTTTGTACGATATTTTAATATTTCTCTTTTGAGTAGCAAAAACAAGGCTACGGATGGAAGGAATGTATTTCTGTAATGTTAACCGAAGTTTATCTGAATACTATTTTAGAATTCAGTCCGTACTGTAAAAGAGAATACATTTCACTATTACAAAGATTGGTTGGTTAATGGTGTTTAAAGAAGTAATCCCCTGTTATAAAACAGACAGGAGACGGATGACAAGGCAGTTTTGTTAAGCGTTGGCAGCATAATGATGGAGTTTGATCGCCGCTGATAGTCCTGCTTCTCAGTGCGTTTGTGCTTTATACGCATTTCCTTATTTCCTCAGAATAACGTGTTTTCTGTTGTGACTTAACCCATTCTTACGATACTTTCACCACAAGCAGTTTCATCATTGTTCATCTTCGGTTGTCTCGGATACGCTACTTTGACCTGAACAGCTTTCGCCCGCCGTCCTTTGGATTAGTTCCTAGACATACATGGGCGATACTTTTATCACCACAGTAAAATGAATTGTTATTCGTCTGTAATTACGTTTTGTTTCCACACAGAGTCGAATCCACATTTTGTTCAACCAATGGAGTAGCCATTCTAAGCGTGTCAGAGTAAGAAATACAATTGGTGTGTCTCAGGTTCTGCTGGGTCTTGGCCGTTGTATAAAAAACAGCTTACAAGTCATGTAATGAAGCTGTGTTATCCGTATCTGCGATTCAGCTCGTCGCTTCAAGATACATGCGTTATGAACCTTGTTTCTTTCAATTGGGCGGATAACGGGAACGCAACATCCCTTCGAGTTCTGCGTGTGTATGGACCCGTTGCTTGTGTGTCAGGTTTTATGAAACACTGTGATTTTTTTAAAAAAAAATACGTAGATTTAAACATAGAGGAGAGTTTGTGAAATTGGGAGGGGTTGGGTTTGTGTTTGTGTGTCTTGTGATCGTCTCTTGTTTTACAGCAACTGCTATGTGGTCCCGCACTGCCATTCCGTCCCTCGTGCAGCGCATGCGCGTTCTCAGACTCTCCGCGAATCACAGTACGTAAAATGAATAACCTAACTTCCTCTAAATTTACAGTTTGTCTCCATTTTTAGTTGCCCTTCTGAACCAGTTTTGTGTTCTTGTACTCAGGATGTCAATGGCGATGCATCCGCCATGTAAATAATTGCATAAGTTAAAATATTTTGTGTTTATGTTTATCCTTGAACCCACGTTTTGCTCAAAGTAAGTCTTGGGGGAGAAGAAACACAGTTTCCCCCAAAATGGGAAGGTTGAATTGGTTTTTGCCTTAATTCATTCAAAATATACTCTGTGTCCTCTTCAACTTTGTAACGTGACGGTATCGGAATTTCTATTTTATTTAATGTATTCGGTAGGACTCCTTGTTTTGGGGCACTGACTCATCAGATACCGCTACTCGTAACCTACAGCATAGCCACGCCCCAACATAAATAATATCTTGAGCAGAGTTTGAACTTGGGTGATCCAAGACCGTATTTGAAGTAACTGTTTGAAAATCGGTTGTGCAATTTGTCGAAAGCATGAAATTTCCCCATGCGTCACTGGTTATGATCAGTTCAATGCATGATGTATCGTTCTGAGGCCACTGGTTGCTCGAAATAACGTGATTTTTATTTTATACGAAAGCCAAAGTTCGTGCAATTAATATTTAATAGTTTAGTACCTACCGCAAAGAAAATCTTCCTCGTGTCCATTAGAAAGATCAAGTCCGGATTCTCTGTTGTCTTAGGGCAGTGCCTTCGAACACTCCCTGAAACAGCAACAGACCACTGATCGTAAGACGTGGGAAGCTGATAATGACCACCGATCTTCATTATCACCCAATATCCATAGGTTTGAGGTTTTCACGGCGGTGTGTCCGAAGATGGCTGTCTTATGGGCTGTAGCGCCGTGTAGTCTGGTTGAAGTTTACCGACGTTTCAGAGGTGTTTGCTGCCTCTATCATCAGGGCGCTACAGGCCCAGAAGACGGCCATCTTGCGAAAAGTTGCTCGAAGTGTTTCCCGACCTTACTCCGTATTATGCTGACCTAGATTTCTTGTCTTTAGCCAGATTATCGTTTTCTTCGTGGATTCGTCTCGTGGGATGAAGGTCTGGTACATGACCGAGTTTTTCCGTGCTTTCCTTACAATTTCCATTTTCCCCGATAACACTTTACCGACGCATATAAATAACTTGCGCATTTCACCATGTTCTCTTAATGTCACTAATAACTTGGCTTTTCATTATTATCCTGGCGCATGCGTGTTTCTGCTCGATGTTTGGTTTATGTGGCATTTCTATGTGTCTTTTGTTTTCCTTTTAGTGAAATTTCTGCTGTTGTTGATCTGTTGCATTTGTTTCGCTTTTACTGTGAATTTAACAAGAAAATAATGCTTTTATTTTCAAATTTTAGTAGACTTGTATCTAATCCTTTTCTCTTTGTTACCATTTGCGTTACACAACACTGAATTTTAACTGGGATATTTGCTTATTTGTGGTTTATTTATCAGCGCTGGGCTGTAAACATACTACAAGACAACTTAGGCCGCGGGCCCCTAATTATACCTTATGATTAAAAAAACTGATTGTTATCTAATCGGGTTCGATTCCCGGCGGTGCCCGAATTTATAACTTGTGTTGGGCAAGGCCGTGGTCTAGGCAACACGGAGTTTTCCTCCGGGGGCTTCCCCGGTTTCTCCGTGGCATCCCAACAATCACTCCATTCTCACACAGAAGAAGGCAATGGCAAACCACTTCTGGATCATCTGCCAAGAACGTATATGAACAGGTCCCAGTCCGAGAAAATGATGGAAGGATCCTGTTCATATGGACCTGTCGTCAGACAGAACACTAAATAAATATAAAAAAATATGGAACTTTGTCTCTGTACGTGAGGGCAGGGTGCAAGCTAGGGATGATGTCATTCAGGGTTTGGCGCCGTGTAGACTCGCCGGTAGATGACCAGCGATTCGGAGAAACATACTATCCCCGTCTTCAGGCCCCAGGCGTGTCTACACGGCGCCAAAATCCAGAACATCCGTAAAACGTAAAATCTCTCGCACCCTTGACCTCACATAGTACAATACTTCAGATCGTGTTAAGTATGTGTGTTACTGTAACATGACACTCGAAACCTATCGAGGTTTTTCCTTGTTTCTGTCTGTTGTACAAGACTTCTTCGTTGTTTACTTGTTTTATTAACAACTTCTCTTAAGTGAGCACGAACACTAAGCTGTTAGTTGAGACAGCTTATGTGTATCACGCCACGTGATGTGTTAAAGTAGGCCCTAGACGTATGGATTGAAGTGTTCTTCTGCATGCCGATTTTTTGAAGCCTTAGCGCGTATAGTTGGTCCAGAACGCAATGAAGACTGTTCTAAGAGTCAGTATGTAATCGCACAAATTAATTACAAGATAAAGGAATCTAACCGCCCCAGATACTGAAGTAGGTCTTCACATTTCGTACTTTATATTTAGTTTTTAATTGAAAATAATTACCATTAAGCTCAACGTTATGTACGTGTTTTATCTAAAGGGCAGTTGGCCCCATTTAATGTTTTGAGTTTTATATTTTAAAATCATCGAGATCGCTGTGAAATTATGGTGTCGGATTCGAATCTCAGTTCAGCGCAAAAGGATACAATATCTCGGTCTCAAATATGTAAATGCTTGAGTATGTCTATGCACGTGTGTGTGTTGGCGAGTTACCGTAGCAACATACTTTCGAACCCATCGAAGAGTTGCCATAGTAATGAACGTTCGACCATTAATGTTTACCACTGCAACTAATTTTTGAGTGTTACTGTGGGTTGCAATAACAACGAATTTTCAGGCTTTAATTCGAATTGCCATGGCAACTAGCGTTACTATTTACTATAGCAGCAGACCTACGCTGTTATTCTGAATTAACTTAAGTCTGTCCTTACGGAGTAAGTCGCATTTTCTGGGATTAGCCATTTCAGTGTTCCGTTAATTTAATCGGATTCCCTAGCGCGGTATAATGTAACGTAACCACACACCAACCATTTTGTATGCTTATTAATTTTCGAGTTTCGCTGGTAGACGAGTTGCTTACCGCGTTCTGAGTTTTACGTCATTTTGCTTAAGTAGGATTTTTCCTCTAGCCTCTGCGTCCAGACCGGCTCTGGGGCCCACCCAGCCTCCTCTACAATGGGTACCGGGGTTCTTTCCCGGGGGTAAAGCCGGCCGGGGCGTGACGCTGACCACTTACCCCCATCTAGTGCCGAGGTCAAGGAAGAGAGGAGCTATACCTCCACTCACCCCAAGTGCCTACATGGCGTATAATGGGACAGCTTTAATTAGTCTGAATATTCGAAATATTGATTTCAAATTGGCCACTGTCATCGTCTCACATCATTCGGCGCTACGTATATCCCCTGATTTTAAATCGTCGTTGTTAAATAATTACGAATCAGGAAAATCCTTCGCAATTTGCCGACGCACTCGTCCGCTGCACAGGAGTAGTTTTCGTTACGGGTTGCTTAATAAGTAACACGCCTTCCCGCTACAGACGATAGACGTCGTACTTCGTACGTGTTGTGGCCTAAAGACAAGGCTCACCGTTACTATAACGGGCTTTATCTCTCCGATGTGTTTGTTACTGCTAGTTCGATTGTGGTCTTCTGGGTTCTGACGACATCTGGGCTTTCTTGTGAGTACCAACGTTATTGGGGAACATATTGCCTCCATCTTCAGGGTTATTAGGCTTGTTTTATTAATTGGTTACCACTCTCGCCCTCCCCTTATATTCTTAGGCCCACACATGTCCATGTCAGAGGACAGTAGCACGTGCTGCCAGTGGGAAAAGACGAACTTAGCAGGAGGAGGAAGGTCACCTGTAACATTATCATAAGTTCTCAGTCCTGGTCAGTACTGTTGTGTATTGGCGATTTCTGCTGCTTGTTAGCTGTGTAGTCATTCTTTGCCGTAGTTTGCACAGTTGTGTCTCGTTGACTCCATTATGACCGTCTTAAAAATGTCGAGGAGTGCACGTGAGAGCTGTAAGACGAAATTCAGGTAGGCCTGATCTTCTTGTAGTTGAGGAGGAGACGTGTTTGCAGTCCTCAGCATCCATGTTTTTGCATCGCGTCCAAAACATGGACTTCCGCGACGCTTCTCATGAGTATCCTTGAACGGCAGGGCAGTTTCTTTGCCGTTAAAAGTCGTGCTTTACGAAGCTCTTAATGAAGAAGCATCAGAATATGTATTCCTTGATGAAGAAAATATTGAAACATGGCGGCGGCGAGTATGAAGAAGGCTGTCTGATGGGTTGTTGCGCCGTGTAATCCGGTAGGAGTTCACAGACGTTTCAGAAGTACTTACTGCCTCTATAATCAGGGAGATCATTCTGTAAACGTCTACAAGACTACAAGGCGCAACAACCTAGTCGTCTTCAAGCGATTGTTTCATTTTGTGTTGGTGTAATGTTTCTAATCCCAGTTAGGAAAGTGACTTTGCGATGATTTATTTACACTTTCAAAAAGATTGGGAACTACATCGGGTTCTGCTTGGGTATCGTCATACAAATCAAAGTCCCGAAACAGCAAATGTTCACAAACCAACCAACGCCTTCTAGTTGTATAGAAGAGATTACCGTTTACTCTGTTTCTATAGCATCATCTCAACTTCTCTGTCGGCAGTGTGTGTGGCGTGTAGCCTAAACATCCTTGCAGGACACTCCGACAAACATTTAATTTTCTGTACTTCGTCTGTGTCACCAGATTGAATACGCAGACAAAAAATTGACCATTACAAGTTACTTTGCTGGCACAATTCCTGAAGGGACTAGTCTCATTATAAAACATTTTACTTACTGCAATTTTATTAACTTCTTCTTCTCTTCTATGGCCCTCCGGTCCGTATTCGGTCCATGGCCTCCTCAATTCTCCTCTTCCATTCGGTCCTCTGTTAGGTCCGTCTGTCCGAGGCTTTGATCGAGGTTTCGAAACGTCTTTATAACCATCAGTTGAAGCAGTAATGAAGCTCCTTCAGAGACAGAATAAACACTGTAATCATCAAAGTTACAAAGATTAAAACTGTTTCTTCCGTTGTTTTGTCAGATGTTCGTGGAATTTTTCTACCGTTTGGTTCATTTGATTGATTTTAGATTTAATTTTCAGGCATTCTTTCCAGATGTTTGATGGTATTTGTTGTTGCATTGATACATGCTATTCACTGTCTCCAATTATTTTCATTTGAATTATAACCTGTCATTCTGTATTCTGGAACCACTCTGTGGAAATATATTTTTACTGTCTGTCCCTTTGTTCTTTTATTACCGTGCAACATTTAAATCTACCACAACATATTTATGGCCATTCTGTGGAATTTAAGAAAAAATTTCCTTTGCCGTTTCTCTAGTAATTAGTGTTTTAAATATTTATTTGTTTGGGAATAAGTCATTAAATAAGTCTGGGTTACGTATGCATTATAAATCAGCCGCAGAAATAAAAAGAATCCAGCAAAATTCGAGGCCATAAAATAAAGCTTTTTGGTTCAGTATCGAGCGTGAGCAACCATTTTTCACTGCGGATTAATATGAGTAAATACACTAAGAAAATAACCTTATTTGTATTTTCTCAGCAGGTCAAATCAGATGAGCTGTTTCTTGCTTCTAGCTATGCACCTCCAAAAGTCCCCTGCAGGCACCATTTTGCCACAGCACAGTGCCAGTTGGATTCAGCCGCTGTCAACACAGTCTCAGCTTTGCCAGCAGAAAATCAGGCTCCAATCATTACAGATGGAGCGAGAACGGTTAAAACTTCGTCAGCAGGAGATAATGAGACAGGTTATAACTTGATTTACAAATGTTTTGCGAATATTTACAGTAAATTTTTGGTAGTTGCTTTAGTTCAAACGAAACTATGGCATGGCGTAAGTTCTTAATAACTTCTGATGTGACTTGTGTCTCTGTATCCACATACTGCCACCTTCAGGAAAAGTGTCGCCAAAATGGAGGACAAAAATTGAACCCAATTTTGCGTGGTATCATATTTGATCATAACGTTCGGTTTAAATTAATACTATACTGAATGTTTACCGAAATTGACTAAAATACATTTATACACCCTTTTTGCAGATATTTTAGAGACATTCATTTCACAGATAAAAGCAATGCAACGGTGCTATATGAACATATTTTCCACATGAATTCTTTGTTGTACGATGTACTTCGCTGTTGTCGTATCTCATTTATCGCAGATACAAATCTGTTATTTTGAAGCTAATCGCAGATGGATTAATTTTTTAATTTCTTTATCACATGTGAATAAGAGATTTAAATCTCCACACTTTGAAGATGCCAACTAGATTTTAATTCCGAGGTTAATGGCTTGGTGGTATGCTAGTTCGACACTTGAGCCAGGCTGTTTTTACGTCTCGATGTATACTCAATAGAAGTTCAATACTTAAAATTAAAAAAAAAAAATGTTTCAAATAAAACTGTGGATTTTAATGGAACTTATATCATTACCATTTACACATTTGTGCTGGTAAAGCTTGTTTAAAATTGTTTCTTCAGTTAATGGTTAATTAAAAGCATATTTCTATCACTTTTATGTGTAGCAAGGGATAATGCTACGACAGGCAAGTACAACAGACCTACCACCAGGTGCTAATTCTGCTGGAATGGACCCATTCCTCTCTGGACTGACTGACCACTCCCGTCAGGAGTCTGCAGACAGCGGATTGGGTATGTGCAACAGCTACTCTCTGCCACACACACCTGAGGACTTCCTTGCCAACATGGATGACAACATGGATGGCGTTAGTGGTGAGTCTGGTTGTGTTTCTCCAACAGGAAATGACACTTGGAAATAGTATCAGTCTGCTTTCCTTATTTTATAAAGAATTCTTGACCTGTCAGCTGAGAAGCCCTGGTCATTTTATACTTTTCCTCAGTTTATCCAATTTTAATATGTATAAATGATGTACTTATATAAAGTGAAAATATTTAAAACGTGTGGCTGGAGTTATGACAGTTTACATATACATTATTTTTCATGTAATTGAACTATTTTACGCTTTACAATTGTCAAAGTAACTGAAGTCCCTAAGTGGCCTGAAGTTTCTCAAATGTCAATGTGAGCGAGTGATTTTCAGTAGATTGACAGCTTCCTTCTACATCATATTTCAATATTCTCTGTGATTCTGCCATCCAGGTTTATATTTGTAAGATTTGAGGTTTTCGCAGCGGTGAGTATGAAGATATCTGTCTTCTGGGTTGTTACCCTGGTGACGGAGGCAGTATGACCTCTGAAACGTTGGTTAAGATCGACCAGACTACACAGCGCAACAACCCAGAAGACAGAAATCATCAGGTTTATATTTCCTAAGCAACCGAGAAGGTAAATAGTGTTTAATTGGTATTTGTGGTTTTTTTGTGGTAGAGGGTGGCAACCCTGCAGATATGGCAACTTTGGATGGTCCAGACATTAGTTCTCTCAGCGACAATATCGACTCGACAGATGACCTTGTGCCCTCTCTGCAGGTTAGTTGTGTTACGTATGTTTCGAGTGATACGTTCCACGGCACATGTGGAAACGAGAGACTTGAATGATGTACTTTTTAGACCTTTAAGTATTTTTCTGCTTTCTGGAGGTAACCATGAAGCATTATATTAATAATTCATTCAACTGCAACCTGTTCAGGGCTCTGAAGGGAAACATTGTTCGAACAGATTATTCTCATTTTTATTTCTGTATTAAAGCAGTTTACATTTATTGGTAATAATTTTACATCAGTTTCTATTTTGTGTTCTTTGGACTAGAGAAATTGCCTAATGTTGGCATTACTTCAAGAATGATAATTTGTATGTTTGAAAAATTGTGATATCTGATGTTTATCTCTAATGCAGTTTCAAATGTTGTAGCTCAGTGAGGAGTTCTCCAGCGACATTCTCGACGACGTGCAGTCGCTGATCAACCCGAATAGCAGACCCGACAACGTTCTTACATGGCTGTAAAGTGCCGTGCCCACAAGCAAGATAACTGTAGCCAGATCTCTGGAATGTGTGTGAAGGTTCCTGTTTCCGTTGCCTCTACGACTAGTTGCTCCAGATTGTACCATTTGTCGATTCACAGTACAATTATGGCAGAATTTGTCAAATGTGTCCAACTTCGCAAAAATTCATTATTAGGTATGTCGTCACATGCATGGATCAGCCTGCACTTTCCTTGTTATTACACGTAAGAAACTAAGATCGTTTAAATCTGTTTTCCTCTGTAGTAGTATTTGCCGACAAGGAAGTATTCCGTTAAAAGAACTCTTTATACAGGTCTAGTTGGAGCATTGTGCTTGGTCGCATCCGTTTACGTACGAGGCACCGGAAGAGGCATCTGTAAAACAGCTTTCTCAAATCTTTCAAGTTACATGGTGGTTAAAACGGAAGTTAACGAACACGACAAAATGAGAGGTTTTCTTGCGTCTTATAAAGCTGCATCATCAGCAGACGGATTAAAGTTTTCTCGATATAGATGGCTACCTGCGGAAACAATTGTTTTCACGATTCATGCGGAATTTTATTTTAGGACTATAATAATAGAAAATAAATTCATGGTCTTGGTGACGCGTGGACGACAATCCTTTTACGATACATGTGGTGGGGAGTTGCAGACCAGAGAATTTTTTATTCTGCCAAAGTTTTGAACCATAACCTTGGTCTTGTAGGAGTGAAAGGATTTCTTATTTTGCTCACATATTTTCTCTTTGAAGAAAAAGCAACTTGTCCTAGAAAATGGGATTCTGTCTTACACGAAGCAATAACTAAAGTCTGATGATGCACAGTATTTGTCAGAAGTAAGGATTATCGTCAATTCTGCGTTCTTTCCCCGTAAGGAAAGACGGCTTTGACTTAACTTGACGTTATAATGTTGTTAAATTTTAAATGAAGACCGTCCACATTCTTAAGCAATACATTGTATTTCTTTTTTGTATAATAGCTATATTCACTTAAAAAAGTTAACGCCGTCAAAGTAGTAGAGGATCTTTATATCATCATCATCATCTTCAGAACTAGGTATTTTTACACGTAGTTTTTAAAGGTTTTAGATATTGTACACACATTGTTTATAACATATAGTTACACAAAAAAGGGTTTTAATACTGTATAACATTTGTTCTATTTACGTAATGCAGCTGACCTGTGCAATCGTTTGCAGTTGTATTACTTTATATGTCTGGTTGAAATGTTGTTATTAACGAAGTGATTGAAATTTCATCATATTTATGTAACAAGATCATAGTTACTGTAACGGAAAAATTTTTACTTTATTTTGTTTTGTCTTTTATAAGGAAGGTTTTTTTCTCTTTAATTTAGAACTTTAATGAGTAATGCGATGTGGAGTGTTGGCGAAATGAGTAAGTACGTCAAAATTGTTATTCTGCAGCCTAGAGGTTATCATGGCTTGCAGGTTAAGGGTGAGTTTATGCCGGAACATTTAAGTCAAAACTTTGTGTGTTAATGTTATTTGTCCTACTGGTTGTATTTGGTGTTTTAAATTTTTAAGACGTTAAAATTTAATTGAGAGATTTCAATGCCAACTGTTATTTAGATTGATTTTCTATAAATGAATTCGTATTTTTAAAATGAAGATTGTACTCAGTATTTTCAGTATGATATTGAAAAGTTTATCTGTTGAATGAACTTTTTTCTAACGTTAAATCTATTTACCTTTTAACAGTGTGCTTTGTATATTTTTTTTTCCGCTCACCTTAATGTGAGCGTTTTTGTGGTAGACGTTATTTTCATTAGGACCTGATATTGTAACAGTTGGAATTTGGTATCTATAGTGAAGGAAATGTGAGTTGTTTTGGCAGATTTAGTGTTGTTAATTCAGATCAGAAGTAAAATTCAGTACATGTAAGTACAGTATTAATATGGCTTGAATATTTTGTAAAATACTTTTTCAAATTTTACCTCTACATGCATAAATTATGAGAATTGTAGGGATGATATACCAGAGAATAAAATTATAAATTGCTAGTAGAATATAAATTGCGGATTTATAATGTTAAATATACGGATTAATACAACACATATTTCATTTCCAACTGCAATCTTCAAGCGCAGGTACAGAAAGAAATTAAAAAGCAAAATACATATTTATGTTGATATAAAACTGAAGTCTGCTGGCATTTTGTTTGTAAAACTTGGTTTGTTTCGGCGTATACAACACTTACACATCCGGGATATAAGCCGACGGCTTTTCTTTTCAAAACTAGAAAAAGTTTGAGCTTGTACAAACCATTTATTATTTTTTTTTTGCATGTCTAACACAACAGCTTAAAATTCACTGCCATTAAAATCACATTTTCGTAAGTCTATTTATCAGTTCACTTGTGCAACATTGATGTTTTCGATAATGATGTTCTTCTGGGTTTTGATTCAGTGTTGAATGGTCAGTAAATTCTCCCCCCCCCTCCAGCAGTTCCCACTCCTCTGATGCCTGCTCGGAGTCTCCCCATTGGCTTAGCTTAATGTCTTCATTGGCCCATTCCTTCAGATTTATCTTCCTGCCACTGCGTAATGCTGTCACTTCGGCCCTGAAGATGCTGGCATCTACTGATAAGTCAGCAAGGCTCCAACACCCAGAATGACGCCATCATTATCGAAATCACTCCGCAAACCTCAAATTTCACATTAACATTTGTTTTGAACGCTGATTTTTGAATAGTACTTACAAAACAAACTCTTGCGTAAGAGAGGCAAAATAGGGATGCGTGACGTCAGTGTAGTTTCAGGATGGAGTGAAATTTGACGTGGGATGTTCAGAATGTTCTGCGAAGACTTTGCATTTAATTTCTTTTCCTGCAAAAATGATGCGGTCCACAAAAAAAATGGAATCATTAATATGCACAGATTTTTTTCCTCCCTTCTACATGGCTACTATTTGCCCATTTAAAATATCTCTCGAGTCCATTCAGAAATGTTGCATTAATAAGGGCTTGTAAATTTAAGTACAGATTGTACAGTTTGGACCAGCAGTGAAAAAAACTCTCAGATTGCAAAGAATCTACACTTTTGATATTTGTCGCTGACTATATTAATGGGCGGATGTGCAAAAATATATTCGATGATTTAGTAGAAGGGAATTGAAATTTCTTACAGAACACTTTGAATGTGGTTCTCATACAGAGAATGGAAGTCGCTGGATGCTGTTCGTCCGCTATTATCCTTCATAAAATCTGGCATAACCGTAGAAAGCACGTACAAAATACGCTGTTTTGAATATGTGAAATTTTTGTATTACGTAATAAAATTAAGTCTGTTATTTCATACATGTTGATGAAGCCGCATTGTATATGAATGTTTGTAACTTATTTCAAGCTGTATGGATAAGTAGCGGGGGAAACGTGATGTTTAATGCAATATGAATTTAAACATTTGGAAGCTTTTAAAATGAATTAATCTCTCTCGCTAATGGCAAATTATTCTTTAAACGAAGTGAAGGTTGTTTTGCTGTATAACTAGAATGCACTCAGTACTCCAGATATGTTACTTATAGTTAATGGAGCAATTCTGTTGTTTGCGTTCAGTTGTGCATAGAGTTAGGTATGACGTACATCTGTGCTCTTGCGGATATGCTTTATTTTGTATCATCCAAATGCGAACTGCATTTCTCAAGTGTTCTGCATTTTTACATCCTGACTCATATTAGTGTCTGAGTAAACATGTGGAACTGGAATTATACACACGCTCGGTGTAAATTAGACATGTATTAGTGCAGTCACATGATTATTTCTGTAATTACTAATTTGATAAAGCACAACCTGGACCTTTAATTTGTCCAAAGTTTGTGAGTAAATAATTATACAACAGTCTGAAATATTTAGATATTTATTTTAGAAATTTTTAGTATAAGCGGTCCTGATATGTAACTTTTTATATCGCAGAAACATTTTTGTTCCTGCGTATATGTTTTTATAATTTAGTACTGAGTTTATTGTAATTTTGCTTAATTTTGGTTTTAATTAAATAGGATTGAAATATGACTATGACTGCTAATGAAGTATCTGTAGTTGCATTGCAGTTTAAACATTTTATCGTCTCTTCTGTTTTTGTCTTCTAAAGTAACAATTTGCAAGAGAAACGTGATTTTCTAGCGCAGCAGCAAATACATTACCAGTATTTCTTTACATAAAGTGAGCTTCATCCTGCAAAGGAAACACGAGATGTTTTCAGTCCTGCTCAAAATAAAAGCACATGTGCTTTTATTAGATCTACGGTCCATCCAGTATAGGTGCCTTTGATAGAAAAGTTATTTATCATATGTTTGTTTCCCCAATAAAAATGTATGTCTTACTTATACGATAGATATAAGTAATGCACTCGCAATCTTTCAATACTCGATCACCATGAAAAGCAATATATGTACAATTAACTCATCACGACAATCACGGTGTAATATTAGTGCCTTTCTCTCATATGCAGTTTCTAGAAGTGTAAAATTAGAACAAATTAGTGAAGAAAGTCTTGCCCACGTAGCCCCACCCTCTACTCTTACAAACAAGCAGATCATATGATCTTGACTGCATTCTTGGTACGATACATTAAATTCAATCTTGCCATTCTATGCCAAGAACAGTTTCGTTGTTGACTGTCAGTTTTAGATAAAGAATGATCTAACTCAGTGGTCCCCAACCTTTTTGTGCCTACGGGCACATTTGAGAGTTTATGAGATCGTGGCTGGCACCAACCAATTAACAAAGCCAAATTTTCTTTTCTCTGGACAAATAAGATATGGACACCAAATAATACACAAAACAAAACGATATTCAATGATACAAGAAACCATACAATCAAAAATACGTAGTTTTATAAGTACAATTATTATTACTCAAGTGGGAAGTTAGTGTGATGTTTGGCACTGCATTTCATCGGCCAGTTTTTCAAATTTGGGAGTGTAGGATGATGCTGCTGCTCGCAAACAATCGTCAAGATGGGTGTCAGTAAGTTGAGATCTGCGCTTTGATTTTATAATGTTTGTGGTTGAATGGCCTTCATTATTCAGTATGACCTCTTTCCGTAACGACGCGGGCACCCAAAAAAAGCCTTGGCGCCCACGGGCACGACGTTGGGGACCACTGTTCTAACTGGTTTGTCAAACATCAGTGATAATAGTAAACAGTTGTTCCTTATCTACATTTCAACTTTATAAACTCTAAGTGTACTTTATAGCGCATGACTTCATAAGGACAGTTTCACGCATAGTGACTCCAGCATTTTACAAAATTATAATTATGAAACTAATGCTATGTAAAGCAGATAATGGTATGGTTCCCTTTGAGCTGCATTTTATGATTTCTGTAATGTGTAGGTATGTCTAATTCTGCTGGAGCTGCCCAATGTGAAAGTTGCAAAAAGTCTTGATATTTCTGCGTTGTGTCGCATGCACCAAGCCCAAACAGTGCCTGTCACTCAAATACAAATATAAGTTTATTTCAGATTCTATAAAATGAAACATATAATTAACTGTATGAACTGTATCATGTTATATTAACTTGTTTAAAGAGATGTACTTTGTAATATGTCATGTTTTTTTTAATAATGAAGTAGTGGTTTTTATTATTACAATTATAATATTTTTCAGGTGTTGGGTTTATGGTATAATTTCTTTAGATGTGTACAAGTATGAGACTATAATTTTCTTAACAGTGCAGTAAACGTGAGAAGCAGGTGGATACGTACGAATACGTGCTGCTTTTTTTCCTTGTGCCATGATAGTGGTTTCCAGGCAGTCTTGTTACTTATTGCTCTCACAGCTGACTTCCACTCTTACCAATATAATTCTTCTGCAAGATAGAAGGTTGATTAAAAATGCGTAACCGCCCGTTATCCGAGATGATCATGTGTAGAGATTTCCCACTTTGACCATGAACTGTTTTTTAGTCGCACTGGCTAACCATTGTGTTTAAACCGAGGTACAGTAAATTTCATATGGTAGAAAGAGTCAAAAAATTTATTTATCTTTAGGATTTTGTTTAGAGTTGCAGGTTCAGATTCGGTTCTCAAAATGATCAACGAACCTAACCTTTCTTTTCAAATATATCTGAAGAGATTTATTTCAGGGAGAATATGACGGACCTCATATTGCAAAGGAACAGGTCTTGCGTATTACACATTATGTTATGTCGGTCATAATGAATCTTTCCATTTTTCATTTTGGTCATTTGTTTTACTTCGCAATGGTGGGAAACTTGTAATGTTCAAAGTACAGCATATATGAAATCGCGCTCAAAATGTCGATGTGAATTGTATAATATGGTTGCGTTTTGTATTGTGAAAAAGTAGTTTATACAATTTATGTCTAATGCTGATTCTGTTGTAAACACTAAAATGTGTCGAAGTGGAAGATTAAAAGCTGTGAGCCCAGTATGGAACTAACATTAGAATTTGCTCAAATGGAGACAATATGAACGGTGCCTTGGCTTCCTCTCTTGGAACACTGAACTGTAGTCAATGATGAACAGATTCAAAGACTATTTTGTTTTAAAATGGACTTCATGGGGAAGTTGGCAATCATGGCAGCTGTGTTCATCGTGGATTGGAGCTAATTTGTGGAACTTCTTTATTTAGAGAAGGAATTTTTATATTAGTCATAAATATTAATTAATTATTACTATTGATTAATGTTCTTTATGTTTGTTTTTATTTGTATATATTTACATGCCAGAAACGGAAGCAATAAATTTGTATGACAGCTGTTCAGTATATGAGTTAATACAAGGCAAAATATGTTGCTGAAGATGTTTTTTTTTATAACAGGGAGCTTGGTACTTGTAATGTACAATAAAATGGTTTCCTTGTTAATGTTTATGAGAGTGTAATTGCACCACAGTGACTTAAGTTTTTGTGTAAATACAATGGATGTAGGAGAGGGTCTTGGTGTGTCATTTTTTCACTCTTTAGTTAACCATTGATAACAGCAAATTTTACTTGGTCCCAGAATATTTTGATTTCTTTCTGTAATGACCATCAACAACACAGTATGATGGCCATGAATTATCTGCAAAATTTGTTTATTATAAAGTAATAAATATTATGTAAGATTTGAGGTTTTCACAACGGTGAGTATGAAAATTTCAGTCTTCTGGGTTGTGCCGTGTATTATGGTAGATGTTTACCAACGTTTCAGAGGTCATACTGCCTCCGTCATCAGGGCGATGAAACGATGGTAAACATTGACCAGACTACACAGCGCAACAACCCAGAAGACAGAAATCTTAATAAATATTAATATGCTGTAGTGTCAGCAGCACATCAAGACCTTGCAAGGTTCTTGTACAAAGTTCCTGGTGGCACCTAACCAGACTATTCAACATTTCCAAGTTTGGCACGGCCTTGCGAAGTAAGTGAATGTTGAGCTTTCAGTTACAAAAAATTCTTTCTGCATGATCGAGCCATCAATTGTTTTAAATTATATTTCTATCAGTTATTTTTAGGTGACTTGATCATCCCACGTGCCTTCACCCTCTGAAGCTGAAGCTCATCTAAATAATATTTAAAGCAGGCGTATGTACATTTTCTTATATGGATAGTGTGTCGCTGTGTATAAGGAATAGTATTTTTCCCGATTTCAGAAAATGTGTTTAGTTAATGTCATCAGTAGAATATTTGGCAGTAAGTATCGCTGTGAGCAACTGTTCAGGTTAATGAACCACAGATGAAGAACTTATGAAGGGGTCATTCACATTAGGTGCATAATTTCTGTAATTTTAAAGGTATGTAGTATTTGGGGCTGGTACTAACAAGCTTTTCCATGTATAAAGAGAAAACGTAAACTTTTTTTAACAGGTTGTGGGTGGATGGTTAGCTGTCCTTCACATTGAAATGTCTTTGATTCAAAGTTTGTGTTAACCAGCTTGCATGACTACCGTCAAGGCAAATTCTCGGAGCTTGCCTAAAATAGGGTTATGAACGCTCTTATAATCTATGTTCATGTTCGATGCTATGTAGAGTGAATTGCTTGAAGTATCGATAAATAAATCTTAAAGAAACTGAGATCATGTCGTAGCTTTCGTTTATCTTACCGGAATGCATATTGAAGGCACTTTGGAAAACGTGCTGTGAGTGATGCGCTATCTTTCTGTTGGAATGTAAGCAACACGATTATTATCGATAGCGCAGATGGATGGGTTAGTTTGGTTAGGATAACCTCGCAATTGTCTATGTTAATGTTTGTGTGTTACTAGTTTCGTAATGTGGACGTGTATCCGTACAGTTTCTCGTAATTATGTTCATTTATCTCATTTTACGACGAGAAAGTTATATTTGTTTTAACTAAATAATACGAACAGTGAAACAGGATAATGTTTATGGTTGTTGCTTATTCTTACGAAGACGCTAAGAAAGTGCGAGTGGTGCTTGGATTCATTTCTGGGAGCAAATTTACAACGGCCAGGTACAGGGCTGCTTCTAACTGAATGTATTTACAGTTATTAGCTATCGCCTTGAGGCGGTAATATTCGGTGAGGTGTTCAAGAAATTGCTCGTCTATTACGGGACCAAAGGTGCGTTATTGTGTTAAGAAGAGCCAATAGAAAAAAAACTTTTTGATTATCATAATCCATTGTCGAAATGTCATTTTTTTGCTGTTGTTGGCGTAACGCAGCTGGCCGTTGTGTCGTAAATAGACTCAAATTTATGGGCGTTGTAAGTACAGTGCATCATCATATAGACATGATATAGTGTTGGATGATTCTTAAGGGTTCTTCGTAGGTGAGTACAAAAATATAATTTTTCTCGAAGTGTATACTCCTATGCACACCCAATCAAAACCGTGTTTTGCTTAATATTTTAAAAGGAATGATCATGTAATGATTTCACATAATGACCCTATGTAATGGAGTCTTATTCCTGACGTCATTCCCAGGTGAACTGTCATTAAGTAGGGTACGATTCTTGACGGTTACGGAAGTATAGATAAAAATTAAATATGATTAGAAAAACATAAAACCAAGGTTCAAATCATCTTGAATGTCAAATATACATAGCTCCGTGTAACGTTGAGAATAGGACTAATGTTAATATGACATGTATGGTCTGGGAATGACCTCAGAAATATGATGAGACACCCTGCATAGAGATGTTTGTTTTCGTCACCACGTCCGGACCGGTTCGGGGTCCAGTTCACCATTGGTCTATGTCCCCCAGTGGCATTGTGCAGATATCTCTCTTTGCCGTACTCATGAAATACTGTTAACAAGAGGGTGAAACATAAATTAGCCATACAGAATAGACTTTTTATGTAGGATTTGAAGCTTAAATACATTAGAATTATCTTGGGCGATCAGCCACTTTAAAATTGAGTTTGTGTTGTAGACGACTGGTATCTGAGTTTATCTTCTTAACTCACATCGCATGTACGTGTTTGGACTTGCATATATACGTAGTGCAGAGAAAATAATGCTGGACACAGCCACTGGCCTTGAGCGTTCAAAGTAGTGGGCAGCGAAAGACTGGTTGTGTGTGGTTCGTGTCCCGGAACTCTTTGACTGTATTACGTATATTAATATTACGTCAGTTGTAAGAAAACATTTTACTTTATGGAATTTTAAATAGGTATAAAGTAAAACTATTTGTAGGCCTACGACATTTCATGCACTAGATATCACACACGGTAGAAATTAAAAATGCATGTAGCATTTTAGTCGTGAAATATTATAGAAAGAGATTACTTAGCAGACTTCGGCATAGATGGGGGATAATATTAAAATGGATCTTGAAATAAGATGTGGACTGAACATGGACCTGTGATGAATTTTGTGAATGCAGTATATATATATATATATGCTTTTGTGTAGACAGTGCACTCAAACAAAAGACTGTTTACTCCTCCATTGCCTAGTATGTACAGGCACTGCTACACAGCGCAGGAACATAGATGTTTACGTGTTAAAGTTTCGCATAATTCGTAATTAAACAGAGATAAGCAGAGATTTTCGTTTTTATGTGTTGCTTTGTTTTCCTAAGGTACCTCTTTTTTTGCTATATTTTTAAAAAAACTTAATTAAAGTATCATTAGTATTACATATGTAAGGAATACAGTTATTTTGATACAACAGTTAATAAGGTTAATTTTATTGTTTATTACACTTCAAGAAATAATCAAGATGACGGATAATGTCCAAAACAACAATCTAATCGAATCTAAAACTTCTTGACGATGGTGAAGAGTCAATTGAATAAAATTTTTGGATATTATCCATCGTCTAGTAAATATAAAACGTAAAACGACGTTTCGGAGATGGGACTCTATCTCCGTCTTCAGGTTCCTACACAGTTGGGCCCACTAGATAGAGCTAATCCCTATCTCCGGACGTTTTATATTTACTAGACGATGGATAATATCCAAGGAAATTTTTATTC